TTTTTCTTGGTTCATGCCAGTGAAAGGCTCAGCACCCTTGGAACAGGACACCAGAGGTAGCGGCACTGGGAGAAGCAGGTCTGAGCTTGACATGCCTAGGGTCTGGGAACGGTTTACTTATGTTTAAATCTTACTGAAATAAATGAGATTTAAACAAAGGCTTAACTGCTGCACTCAATAGAGAAGTTTTCCTGAATCAGGCCCTTCATCGAGAAATGTTAATTATATGTATTTTCTCCTGAGGACATCTGCCTGTGAGGGCTATTTCATCGTCTCTGAGATGCTCAAGTACATTAGTGACAAGGCTCCATAGCCACCTGGGCAGGGAGATCATGAGCCTCTCAGATCCCAGTTCTGCTACTGCAGATCATGAGAAATAGTGTATCTGAAATAACCTCCTAAATAACTACTTCAGCAAGAGTGCTGCTTAATGCAGGACTGCTCCTCATGAGAAAGATGACAGTCCCATCTTGGGCTGCCAACTCCTTCATACCACAACTTAAAAGACAACTCTGAAGACCACCATCGTGCTGGCATCACTCACACGCACTACAGAAACATGCAGTGGATGCTCCTCCTCCTCCACCTGCACAGAAAAAAAGTCATGTGCCTTCAGCAGAACATAAACCCATGCAGTAAAATACCAGAACAAGGTGGGGGGAAATTCTGACAAATTAAATAGATGGATCAGATTCCAGCACACCCCAAAGGTCACTCCATGCAGGGTCTGCCGGAGGGAAGGTGGGAGCAGCATCGCTCCTCCGGGGAGGGTGCCAAGCTACCAGTCTCTTGTTGATTAATCCTGGGGGAGCAAGAGGCAGCAGAGAACACCCTGCCAATTGTAAATGTGGTGATGGGGCATTGGGGGCATATATATGCATCATTAGTCATCCGCAAGAATTTTGTTTTTGTAACCTCTGCATTTTTATCTGTCACTTCGAGCAATAAATATGCACTCCCGCCAGTGATTTGACATTACACTTGCTTTGGATGGTTGCCTTTCCCAAATATTAATAGTAACTCATTGTGGACACAGCATTGGTATTTAGTTAGATCAGACCAGCTTCTTTTAAAAAACAAGTTTTCGCATAAAGAGAACAGATGTTTTTAATTTACACAAAGAACAAAAACAAAGTTCTATTGTTCAGTTACAGTGAACACAAACATTACAGGCACAGAGAAATTAACACCAATTGCATGTTAAAAAAGAATTAAAAGCCCATCAGTGTACAGGTCTGCTTATTTGTTCTTTTTCCACCACATTAACGATTTAGTGGCATGCAAGTGTTGCTTTTTGGAATTCATGTGCATTTGAGTGTGGCGTATGTTAATGATAAAAATGGCAGTAACACGTGGACACTTTCTAAACACACGTTATACAGATAATAATTATTACTATTATAATCATGATATTTTAATAAAAACAAATGGAATATAAACTCTCACAGTTCAGAGCAGAAGCCAACTACCAGCTCATGGGGATAGGAAGAAATTGGCTCTTTGAGCTGATTTTTCTGTAATTGTTATATACAGGTATATTTTCCCCTGCACCATCTGCACAGAACAGTACAGCCTCAACCCTCTGAAACATGACATGCATACAAACACAGAGCAGTGGCATCAGTGAGGTTATTTTGTGGGATGTCATGAAGTTAAACCAGAACTGTCCTTATATGCTATTTTTCTCTGGGGATCTCAAAGCCTTTTGAATGCACTTACAAGCTCATGGCACACATGGGTGGGAGCAGAGCTCAGGCACAGACCCATGTCAAGGTGACCAAGCTCGTCCCAGAACAGCAGTGCTACTCTGCAAGTGGAGGCCACTTGCACCTCTCTGTGTCTCAGACACCCTGAGAAAATGTTTCTCTGAGATAAATTTTAACACTGTTCTCATTTCTCACCTTCTGAACACACAACCTGGTTATCTAATTCTCATTTTACTCCAAGGCATATCTTTTCCCAGGGAGAAGAACCTCTTCTAGCATCTCCTTCTTGAAGATTTCCTAGAGGATCTCTCTAGTTGACAGTCGCATCTTAGCTCATCTTCTTGGGCAGCTATTTCTAGGTTTAGAAACAATGACATACCAATATTTCTATCTCTATTTCAAATCTGCCAGTCCTGCAGCTGCAAGAGGTCAAGGAGGACAGGGATACCTTATATTGGCTTCTCACAGCTCTATATGAGCAAAGATTGTTGCTCAGAGAAGTTGTGAACACCCCATCCCTGGAAGCATTCAAGGTCAGGTTGGATAGGGCCCTGAGCAACCTGATCTAGTGATCTAGTGAATGGCATCCCTGCCCATGCCATGGGGGTTGGAACCAGATGATCTTTAAGGTCCCTTCCAACTCAAACTATTCTGTGATTTTATGATTCTATGAATCTGTTTATGATACAGTAAAACAAGACTTTGACCCATTCGCTCTCCCATTGTTCACTACTTATTTTTTTGTCCAATAATTGGTGCCATTTTACTCTATCCCACACTCAGACTAAGTATCAAACTCTGAAGCTTAATTCGGATCAACACATGCCCCAGTGGAAAAAACAACCAAAAAAACCCAAATTAACAAAAAATACATCCTTGCTTTTTAACCAGTTGGAAAATTGTAATTAAAAATAAAGTTATAATTAAAGTTATAATATTATCTAAATATGTATATAAATATAATATATACATATATATAAATATAATATATATAACTTTATAATATAAAATTATCATTAAAAGACTTGGGATAGAAAAAATAAAAAATCTATCTCTGTAGTAATCTGGGGATTTCAGTGCCACAGAACAACAGACATACAAACACCATGACTCAAAGGGCTGGAGCCTTTTTCCACCTCTGAAACCAAGCCTCACTGGGAGAAGTGCTATATGTGTGCTGCTCCAAGTGGCCGGTTGTAAACTTCCAATCACATTATATAATACAACCCTCAGTTCCAGACCCATGCAGGAAATAAAGAGAAACCAAAACATTACATTCATACGGTACCTTTCAGCTTGAAAGAACCCAAGCCATGAATCATCTTCTCCACCACAGAATGCCATCACTTCAAGGTCGAAACGCAGCAGCTGTTTATTACCCTAGGAGAACATTAAGATGGGTGCTCTTGTGCAGCCAAAACAGCGGGGAAAACCGAGGAGACAAATATAATAACCTGGAACGCACAAGCTGATCCTCCCTACCTTTATAATCAGTACCAGAGGAACTTTAGGGACCACAAGCAGCTGATGCTTCCAGGCGCCCAGTGCTAACAATGCTTTCCACAGCACTTAAGCGATCCTTGGAAGCCAAAAGCGTTTGACCTGGACTTGCTTTGCTTTGCTTGGTTGACAGTGAGGCCAAGAGCTGGCTATTGCACACTGACCACAATTTCTATGTCACATCCAAAGTCATTTCTGCCACATTTAGAAACAAGATTAATGCCAGAAACAGAGTAACCATGATGGTCTGCATTGTTCAAAGATGGAGAAATTCATCTCACTGCTCGTGGCAGCTAATTTCGGTTGTGTACCTGCCCTGGCAGTTGACTGTTAATTAATAAATTGCAGTCATGCTCTCTCAAACATGGCTCCCTCAGACCTTGAATCTCAGTATCTTGGGGAGATGCTACATGGCTCTTGGAAGTGGCTTATCAAAATTGGAACTGTTTGTTATCCAAATATACTAAAGTTTTCACTCAAAATTTAAAATCTCAGTGTTACACCACACTCATCACTGTGGTATCTGAGTACCGCCATTTCCAGCCGAATTCCAGCCCCAGCTGGATTCAATGAAGAGTCACTCTGAGCCCGGGGACACAGAGGTAACGCAGGCCAGGATCATGCAGCGTGTCCTGCGTGGGCCCATGAGAAGTTGTTGCAGAAGTTGGACTTCAGTTCCCACTGAATGAGAAAGGTTCTTGTGGCCAAAGTACATTAATTAGGAGATTGCTAAAGCCTCTGCTGTTACTGCAGAGGTCCTCTGAGACAGAGGGACAGAGGAAGAAATCAGACCAATTGCACTGTGTCCTGGGAGTGGATGTGCCCATTGGCTTTTATTTATTCTGAAGTGGTGTGAAGGGTGCTGTGAAAATAATCTCAATTCTACAGCACAGCTCTGCTCATGCCTGTGAATCAAAGTAAGGTAAGAATCGTTGGGCAATGCCCCAAAATGGAAATGAAAAGGAAATTGAGCCCTGTGTTTCAATTGCTCAAATGTCAGCCTAGATGTCCTGTACCCACTATGGGTCATCAATGTCACACAAGCTGTATTTTCAGCTCACCAAGCCTCTCAGCCTTCCTGTTCCTGGGTCACTTGCAGTCCCAGAGCCACAACTCTCATCAGGAGCTAAGACATTCTCTTCTCAGGCAATATCTTTGGCCATTTACAGACAGACCTGCACATGGTCTGACAATGATATCAGAGCACTTCTAAAAACAAGATGTTTTCACCAAAACACTCTCTGATAATCAAACAAATCAAAGGGCGACCTAACTGGATCCACAAAAGCCAAACATGCAGCTGCCAAAGAACTGCTGTTATCTCTGGCATGGCTGGGTCATTGGGACATTTCACAGAAACAAAAATGTATTTCCTGTGTAGACCCAATTAAAACACCTCCAGGGAAATGTTTCATGTGCTCTTAAGACCTGAAGCCAAAGCTACCCAACTGGTTTGTAAGGAATGAGAATACTTCCCAGGGGTTGATGGAAAGCATTGAGTACCCTCTGCTGGTCTCATTACAGTTAGGCTCAGCAGCGGCCTCTGACCTTGCAAATACCTGGCAGAAGGGTGCTGTGCCCTCCCAGTGAGAGGGAGGCTGCTTCCCACTGCCAGGAGTGAGCTCAGATAACATTGAAGGGCACTGCAGGATTCAGCCCAGGTGTCCCTCCACGACAGAAGCCACTGGCCCCTCCTGGTCTACACACAGGGTTTGGAGAACACAGCACAGTCTGTAAAAGGTAAGCTGTACCTCTCCTCCCAGGTCTGACCAAGTTCTGTCTCCACAGCTGTGTCCACTTACTTTCTTTCACGTGGAGAAGGACTTTGATGCCCATGCAGAGGTCTCCAAGGACAGATGGAGGCTGTGGGTCACTCGCTATGCAGGTAACAAGACTTTCGTCGCCACCTCCTTAATTTTCCTTTCTTTTTTTTTCTCTGTTCACCCCATTATTAATTCATGTGCTTATACTGCAGGATCTGGCTGCTTTTCTTGCTGTTCTGGCTGGGACAAGGGAGGCAGATGGTTCCCCCAGGTTGGTGAAATATGATAAGAGGATAGTGGGAAGAGGCAAGGATGAGAACTTGGTTATTTTGCTTGTAACAGGATGTGCCTCTTCTCTGCCCTTCAGTCCCAATGACTCATCTACTCTATATGTGCTCCCACCAGGTTTTGTAGAGAGCAGTTGCCGCTCCAGAATTTTCTGGATGAAACTGAATAAACTCTTTCTCCAGGGAAAGTTCTTCCAGCTGGAAATCTATGGTGAGTCACAAGTGTCTGCCCCAAATACCATGACGGCTGGGGAATCACCCAAGTGATCAAAGAAGTCTGTGATCTGGATGCTGCTGCCATCTATTGATAATTGGTAACTGACCCCAAAGAACCTGCAGCACATCCTTGTCACCTAGACCTGGCCTCTCACATCTCAGTTTGGCCAGTATCCCTACAGAGCACTAAAGCTTGTATCTACAGCCACAACCCCCTTTGCCCCTTACAACTAACCTGCTGGGGAAAGGAGAAAGGATGGTCTGAAGAGGAAGGACTGGCATTTGGCTTTCATACTTTCCTCTGCTGAGCTCTTACACGTGACTAGCAAGAAAAACAAAGCGGACATTGCAGATCGGATATGTCCTGGACAGCACAAATGAAAACAGTACTGTAGGACGGGTAATACCCAGAAAACACACTCTCAATGAGTGCTGAGTGCTGCAGCAATTAAAGGACTTTTTTTTTTATTTCCTTTTCATTTAACATCACAATTGCAGTTAAATACCCTAATTCAGTTTGAACAAAAGGTTTCCGTTTTGCTGGGGAAAACAAAAATCTACCGAACCAAAATGAAAACCAGAAAATGTTCACATCAGATTGCAAAAAGTATGTGATTTCACCCCAAACCAGATTAATTTCTGTTGAGATCAGTCCGTTTTTTTCCGGGTTTTGTTTTTGTTTCACTTGATTTGGAGGCAGAACTGAAAAAATCAAGTATGGAAAGTGTGTGGGGAGAAGTGATAGCATTTATGAGAGCAACTGATACTGCTGGAAACAACAGACCAGCCTTCAGGCATAAAATGTTGTTTGTTTCTTCCAGCTCTATCAGTTGGTCTCATAAAAGCTATTCCTTCTTATTCCAAAGTTATTTCCACTTATCTCCTTAGTCTATCCGTGCTGCAAGCATACATGTACTCAAACAGCAGTTACAGTACTGTTCTACATATAAAGATGACAGACAAATCTAGAAATTGCAGTGGCAGCTAGTTAAACCCTATCTGTTTGTACAGATTCTTGTGTCTATCCCAAGGCTAAAATAGTTCCTTAATCAGAGGGCAGATAATTAACAAAATATGATGTTATTAACTCTACCAACATCAAGAGCTGAGTGCAGCCAGCCCTCATTGTGTCTGTTACTTGGCTCCCCATAGGTTTCACAGCACGCACAGATGAGCAGCAAATATGATCAATATGTAAAAATGCCCACCCGAAACAGGTCCATGACTGCATCCTTTGACAGCAGATTATCAAAGCTTGATGATTTTTAAAAATGGATGGGCTTAATAGTCCGTCACTTTTTCATAGGGAGTTAGGGAGGGAAAAATGTAGGTGATATCTCGGAGAAGCTCTCCGTAATAGCACTTCAAAGTGGCAGTGGCAAAAGCTTCTGGATGCAAAGAAACAGGCACTAAAGTGCACATTACATGGATGAGGTTGAGTCACACCAGACTGTGTCACACATTCTTACAAATGCCAGCACAGTTTCACCAGCTCTTTAACAGCACACATCACTGGAGAGCACCCAGAGAAGAGCTGCATGAGAGGGCCTTAGCACCACTCTGCCCCGTGACCTGCCCTGAGCTTTACATCCCACATATAATTCCCTTTTTCTGTAGATCCTTATGCTGGCCCCATTCTGTTGGATGAGAAACTAGCATCTCGCTGTGGCTACGTGCTGTCAGAAGATGTGTGGGGCAACCCCGTCTTCCGCGCGTCAGTGCTTGGCTGTCATGTGGCCAACGAGGTAAGACCCAGACACAGGCTTGAAAACAGCTCAGATTGCACATCCTCTCCAAAAAGACAAGACAGAAAAGACTGAGAAATTATATGGTATTCTAATGGTACATTTTGAGAACAGTGAATTCAAGGAACCAGTGTTGGTAGTGTGTAGAAATGAATAGGCAATGGCTCTCCGCTTCGAGGTTTGTTCAGTGTGACTGACATGGGACTTCCTCTGTCCATGGAATGACACTTAGCCTAATGCTGCTGACTAGCTGCCAGTTCTCAAGCATATCTTTGTAGCTGCTGATTTGCCAGAGAGTTTCTTGAAAGCCTCTCTGGAAAGAAGTAGGCATCTGCTTGAGTGTGATTCTGGCAGATTGTTTCCTGGCTTAATTTGTGTGGTAATGTGCCTATTAACACATGCCTAGGAACGTAGATCACACACGCCTATTAGATCTAGATTTGTCTCATGTAACTTTAGCCATCTAAAAGATAATGTCTAGCCTAAACTAGTTGTTTAGGCTTCCACAATAGTCAATGGAGAGAGGCAGGCATCTCAGGAAAGTGATTCACCCCTTCCAAAAATACATGTAAAAGTGTAGCCTGGACTTCTAATTTCTAAATATTCATTGAGATGAAACATACCCAGAAAGAGAATATATCAGAGTAGAAACTTCATTGCTTGTCCATGTTTAGTCTGGTTGGTCCTGGAAGCCCCACAGAAAAAATATGGTAAAACTTTATGGGCAGAGGTTATGCTAACAAGGACAGAGGGTGTACAGTGTGCTGTGCAATTACCTGGATTTCCAGGCTGGAAATTTCTCTGGAAAGTTTTTGTCTTTTTCTGTAGAAAAATACACATCTATGTCAGATAGAAGCATGGTCCATGGCTTTGTGTGTGGCTCCTGGAGAGTTGAAGAATCAAAGGGAGTTCTTACCAGAGCGAGTCAAAATAGACTCTAAACAGCATTTTTAAGACAGATCTGAACAACAAAAGGTCCAGTACTTTCTCTCCATGGGGAGGCACATGGGTCACAAATGGGAGAAATGTGAACCATATGGTGAGGTAGGTGAGATCTTCTCTTGACCAGCTGCACGTTACAGTGTGTCAAGAATAGTGCTGAGATGTGATCTGAGACAAAGGCTGTGAGTGCCGAAGCAATGTCTCCGGCTCAGAGAGCCCCCACAAACAAACCACTTCAGACAGGATGGTATGCTGGAGGAACTAGCACTACAGCTCTAAACCTGTTCTCATCATTATAAAACACCCTCAGAAACAGGACTAGATGGTCCCATGCAGTCAATCCTGGGACCTTACACAGTATCTACTGAATTGCCAGTTTTTCTTCCCAGGCAGATGAGCTGTTTACTCTGACTGTGAACATCAAGGTCTCCTCATTTTCAAGCATGAGGGCAGCTGTGACCTACACCTACCCTATGTACTGCTCCTACCCTTCCTGGGCTTCAAGAGAAATTGTGTGTGAAGAAAACTACATGGAGGTAAAAATTTTCCCACTGAAGTCGAGGCTACATCCAAGCTCCCTGCCAGGCACAACAACCTCCACAAATTCCTGTCAGAGGTTGATTGTACGCTATGTACCAGGCGTAATAGCAACCTGCTGATATTTAGCAGAGTGTGTAACTGTAGATGCTTATTAGTAACACATTTACATGCCATAGGTATTTTGGATGAAGCGAAATTCAGCTAACTCTACAGATGATGTAAGTCAAGCCTCTGCAAACAAATCAACAGCCTGGCAGGGCAAGCTCTTTAGCTCATGAGAGTACCTTTATGTTATAAAGTGCTACAGCATCTGTGAGAATGTCATCCTTATGTCTGAAATAATAAAACTTAGAGTCTGCAGAGCTTCACCTCTGCTGCATCACACAACCCGCAGAACATCACTGTGAGATAGGACCTGCTTCTCACTGAGTGCTATGATTGGGCTGTCCAGCCTGCTGCCACCACCTATGCACCAGTGTAGAAATAAGGCTGTGAACAAACCAAATTTCACTGCTTTTTGTACACAACTGCTATAGGCAGGACAAAGAAAGAATATTTCTCCTGTTAGAACATGAGGCTGTGCAGTCACGTCTGGGTGTTGCAACACACTTAAACCATGGTACAGATTTACAACATAACATCTACCTTAGGTACCAGGGATCCTGCATTTTCAGATGTTCAGCCTGCATGGGAAGGGGAACCAATCCTGTTAAAGCCAATAACCTGTTTCTTTATACCTCTGGTGAAGAGACCCAGATGTCCCTGAAAGTCTCCAGACTGGAATCTAGTTTACAGCTTACCAGATATGAAGCAGGACTTTTGGGTTACCTGGTCATACACAAAGTATTTCTTCTGCTATACATGCACCACCATAAAGGCCATGCTTTTAACTTTGATTGTGAGGCCACAGAAACTACTGCCATCAAAAACCTCTACGGAAACACTTTAATTACCTTCAAAGAATGCAAATTGCTAAATCCAGACATAGTTTGGAGAAGAAATCTGAATGCTCTCTCTCTCTCTATTCCCCATGCCTGTAATAATGTTGAAGATCTGTTTGCTCCCAAAGAATATCCTCTGTGTCCCCAGGTGTCAGTGAAGACTGATGTCCCTGCAGTTTCAAATGACTACACCGTAGCGTGGATGTCAGCACTGCCAGAGGTATGAAGGGGAGCCTTTCCTAACAGTTCCTAGCCTGCCTCTTCTCTCTAGTCTTATGAGTCATTCTTGGGGCACAGCTCCATCTCTCTCAAAAAAACCCAGGGAGACGACAAAGTTGTCATCAAGTATTGAAAAACCTCTCAAGTATTTTTAGACCTCTAGACTGCAAAAAGACATTTAGGTGGGAGAACAGAGCCATATGCTTGTTCCATTAGTGGAAACTGCATTCAAGACAAAAAAAAGGTAGGTGGTTCTTCACACAATGGGTAGTGAATCTGTCAAACTCATGACTAAAAGATGTTGTGGCTGTTAAAAACTTATTTGATCCCAAAGAGAATTTGGAAAAGTTGACTGAAAAGAAATCCAATAAGATGTACAAAATACAAAGAAGCTACAGATAGCTCAGGAGTCCCTGAGATGAAAAGTATTTGAGGATGGAAAGAATTACGGGGAAATTATGACTGGAGCATCTCTCTTATGAGGAAAGGCTGAGGGAGCTGGGCCTGCTTAGCCTAGAGAAGACTAAGAGGATCTTATCAATATCTGTAAGTATCTGAAGAGGATGGAGCCAGGCTCTTCTCAGTGATGCCAATCAGCAGAACAAGAGGCAATGGGCAGAAATTGATCCACTGGAAGTTCCACCTGAGTATGAGGAAGAACTTCTTTACTGTGTGGGTGACCATGCACTGGAACAGATTGCCCAGAGAGGTTGTGAGTCTCCTTCTCTGGAGATATTCAAAAGCCTCCTGGACACAATCCTGAGTAATGTGCTTTAGGGGACCCTGCTCAAGTAGGGAGGTTGAACTAGATGACCTCCAGTGGTTCCTTCCAACATTAACCATTTTGTGATTCTGTGAAATATATATGCTTGTCCTATTTTTCTGATCTCTTACTTGCTCCTTATGCCCATTTTCCTTTTGACTATATTCCCATATAGCTATTATTTCAGGGGATTCTGTTCTAGGCATTACCCTCTTCTTATCTTTGGCACAGTACGGCTACATACTATAAAGGGTAGTCTGTCATTTGGCCTCTGGAGTACTCCAGCAATCAACAGACATGAAGACAATAATTTTCTTAACAGCACAGATACTTTTGTCCACAGTGGATTTGTTCAAGGCCACCAGTCTAAGTTTCTTCCAGTGCTGCTATAAGACTATCTTTAAAGGTGCCTCAAAGAGCTCTAGAATTCCTTATCTTTATATATATCAAAGGAATTTCTTGCCTGGGATGAACTAGTAATGTCCAGTATCATTCCAGTTACTCAAGATTCTAACAGGAAAATAGGTGCTACAATATTATATTTTTTAAAAGACTTTGGTAGACTTAGATTTGATGCAACTCATCTCTCTCTTGCAGACTCAAAATGTTGCATACCAGCAATGGCAACTGATGTTTGTTTCTCCATCAGGGAGAAAGAGAGTAACAGTAAGCGATGCAGTGAAACTGGGATACAGCTTCAATAACACGCTGTCCCGAGTGTACCTGCGCGCGCCCTACCACAGCAACGAGTCTGACATCACTGTGGTGAGTTGTTGGTCTCAATCACACACAAAGCTCTGCCCTTTCCACTGCCTCTCTAGAGCATCAGCTCTCTTTTTCTGCCTGCATCCCACCAGGTCAGCGGTGTGAATATGAACATGGTCACTTCCACTTCCATGTACAGGCAGCGGTGGCTGCTTTTGCTGATTGACACGACTGTCTCCTGTCCTGTTGGTAAGAATTTCTTCCTTCTTCACTAAAAACAACCAGCTAAGGAGCTAGTAGAAAACACAGTCTTCCCATTTCACTTTGACCTACTCTTAGAAAAGGGGATTACAAGCTGCCCTCAGAGCAACATGAGCTAAGAGTCTGTGGCTTTAGTCCCGGACAAACATGTTCCCTGCTGTGACAGTACATTACTTGTGTTCCCAGTGCAGGGTCGCGCCTTCTCTCCAGTTTCTCAAATCTTCACGTTAGATGCAGGGAACTGGAGACAAGTAAAAGTGCTATAGAAGGGCCAGGGAGCTTCCCCTGGACTAATCCCACAGCCTTGGCTCTCCTCTTTTGTACCACTTCATGCAGGGCATGCAGCTCTGCATCCTTGGGACTCACCTAGTCCTTTTCTCTGGAGAAGCTGTACTACTCTACCTTTTTGAAGAGAAGTGGTGGCTGTACCTTCTGGCTCTCACAGAAGAGTATTAATGTGAACAAGTGGTGAAAAGCAGGAGGTTTTAAGTTGTCATGACCCTGAAGCCAATATTTCAAGGAGGTCTGAACTGGTTGCTCTGTGCCTTTTATTCCTTTTGCCAGCAAGCCCTGGGACCAGAAGGGCAACAGAGCAGGTAGCTGGCAGCATGACTGCTGGCTCTTCTGAAAAAATTAATGATTCACCTGAAACTGGTGATTCAAGCCTGCTTTGAGTGCCAGGGTCTCTGTGACAAAATAGTCATCAGTTGACCAATATCCTACAAGGTGTTGCATCAGTGAAAGCTGTACAGATATCCTGGTGAAAAGGAGTCAGGGAAAGGCAGCTGTTGCACAGGGATGGCTCTGGTAACTCCAATTACCCATTCTCTGGGACTATCTATCTATCTAACTCCACAGATGGCATCAGCTTCACTGATACTACGCTGACATGGACGACACCAAGGGTTATTCCCACATTAGTGGTTCAAGAATCCACCTTTCTGTCTAAAAACATTGTAATGGGAGTTGATGATCAAGTCATAGTAAATCCAGAGGAGAAGAACTACTTACTGGAGCACAACGAGACACACATCAGAATAACTATCCCTATTGGAGCAGAAGGTGGCAAGCTAAAGGTTAGTACGAACACACAAACATGTTTGAGGGCCTGTACCATGGAAGATATTTCTAAATCATGATCATTCTAAATCATTCCAAATACTGATTGATTGCTGCTTAAAACTTGTAGATACAATAAATATTTGAAAACCTAGATGCTCCTTCTCCGTATTTTGAAAGCACTTACTCAGAAATCAGGACTTTGTGATTACAAAACAAGATAGAAGCAAATGCCTTTTGTTAATAATCTCTAAGGCATACTAATAAACTAAGAGTGAAAGGATTCCTGGACACTGGAATTCAATTGTCTGTGTTGTTAAATTGTGAAACTAGTCCTCATAAACTTCTGGCCTGGCTCAAGGAGTAATTTCCCAGCCAATTTCCATGAAGATAGCATGAGTTAGCATGGGACAGTTTCTCCACATGTAGCTGGAGTGCAACTACCTGCCTTGAACATAGTTTATTTCTCATCAAGCTATAATTTACAGATACAGAGACAATGTCAAAAAATTGTTCAGTCAAACAGGATAGAATGGTTTGCATTGGGAGGCACCTTTAAAGATAATCTCGTCCAGACTGCCCTGCCATGGGCAGAAACATCTTTCACTAGGTCAGGCTGCTCAAAACTCCATCCAATGTGACCCTGAACACCTAGAAAGGAGCTGGCACTATTCCTACAAGTCTCTTTATCAGTTCCATTTTGTGTGGATGACATTGGTGTGATTTTGAGTTACCCCCTTCAGAAGTTCCCTTTTTTGTGTATCAGTGGATACTTACATCACTGTGTGTATGGTAACACCAGACAGGCTTGGTCTAAGAACTGCTGGAAGCACTGAGAAACTTTCAGAGTGAACTGAGACAGAACAGGACACATGACTGGAAATCCAGGAATTGTGAAAAAAAAAGTGTTAACATGTTAAACTTAATGAGGACATCCCCACAAACCTGATACTTCCTTATTGAGAATCTCAGCAGTATCTGAGCCACACATGGACCAGATAAATGGGCCAAGCTAAAAAACAAACAAGCTCCCCTAGCAAAATCCATCCCAAACTGTACCAGTATATAATTTTCTCTTGCTAGTGTAAGAATTTTAACCATATACAGTCATCCCTTTATTGAGCTATTGAGAACTAAGACTTAATCACACATTTTACTTCCTAGAGTTCCATATCTGGTGGTGTATATGGAGTCATTTACAGTATTGACTTGTTTTTGGAGCACACATGGACAGATGCAGGTTGGCAAACCACAAAGTACACAGTCATCAAATCCATCACTACACCTTTCATGCCACAAATGCCAACTGTTATCAACAGTAAGTCATTCCTCTTGTTGTCTTTTACTAATTTTTTGCTGTGTTATACATCACTCCACTTGACCTCTGCCACACCCCTACACACCCCACAATGTTCTCAACTCCCACTTCTCATTTGCTAGCCAAAGTCAACCACAAAGCTTTAGCTTTAACTTATTAGTTGCTGATAAAAATGTAAACATTTCTTTTGCATTAACATCCAGATTTTTCCAGTGAGCACTGGGACCCTAGAATAAAGATGTTGTGATGTGCAGTTATCACGTTGGGAAGAAAGACAGTGTTCATTGATGGCATTTTCTCCTCCAAACTGCCTGCATTTGTTACCTGGGGAGCATACTCAAATAATTGTGCCATCCAGTACTGCAGTCATGGTTTTTAAATTGTATTATCCAATGCATTAAGGCACTAAATATCTTTGAAGCTGCCTGTATAAGGGATATGGAAAGAAAAAGGAGCCCCTTAGCATACATTATGATAGTTTTTCTGTATTTTACGTGGCTGAACTAGATTCTAGATTTCTTCATAGGAAAGTCATTGCACGCCATAGTGCACCTCTAGAAAGTCACTGAAGCCACTTTCTGTAAAGTTGCATGTATTTGTTGTTAATCTCCTGCAGCTTGAAGCAATTCTCATGTACTCAGGGTATTTCAGATCTGACTAGAATACAAACACTCATTAATCAGAGCCATTAAAGAGATGGCTGTTGGCTAAGTTTCCTGGAATTTGAATGAGAAGCCACCCCAACCGTCTTCGTTACTTGATCCACATTAGCAGTAATTTGATGTTCTCTCCCTGCAGATACTGTGCCAGAGGAACGGCTTTTTAATGTTGCATTTGGACACTTTCTTCCCGATGTCTCTCTGGTGGCAATCGCAATAGGAAATGTGCCATTTACCCCGAGGGAAGCACAGTACCACGAGTTCAAGGTTTATGAAACTCTCTTTTCTAATAGAACAAAAGGGTTTATCCTGGAAGTCTCTTTTGATGATCCGTATGTTCTAAAAGAGGTAAGATACAGCAGGTCACTTCAGCAGATGAGTGGAGGAGGAGGGGCAGTCCCTTTGCAGACACAGCCCAGCTTTTATTAACCAACAACTGTTCCTCAGTCGTAAAGGTGTCAATGACTCTGAGCTCATCTGAGTTAAAATTAGAGGCTTGTATATCTCCAGTTTGCCCTCCATAAGTCTCTGGGAGACACACAGTATCAAGTGTGATTAGATGAGATGAAATACCACTTTCTTTAGTGCCTGTCAGCATGGCTGATGTCCGAGTGCACGCCCAACAGGAAGAGCCTTGTCAAATCTGTATTAATTAGATGCTGTCCCTTGAAACAGGAGTGTCTTGGAAAAATGACTCATTGCAATGCTGCAAACACCAGTTACCAACATCCAGTAACTCCTCTGCACTGTTTGTGCAAAGCCATTTGACCGCTGGCACAAGCCATGCCATGTGCGAGCATGTAAAGGCAGGCTCAGGGTATTCTAAATCTAATTTTGTTAAGCTTCAGACCGTTTGTAATCTAAATATTTTTCAAAAAGTATGAACTCGCAGAGGGATTTCAACCTCTCATTTCAGTGGGAGGATGCATAACTGCAAGTTCTCTACCACTATTCCAACCAAACCACGCAGAGCTGTGATGCTATTTTCTGTTACAAGGAACTACATTGTGAAAGCACAGGATCAGGACTTTTGCAAATAGTTTTAAGACTGCAGTCAAACCGCAGTTAAATTGCATTAAGGATCAAAGCAAGCCAAAAAATTCAGAAGTATTTCTTTCAGGTTGAACACCAGGTTTTGCTTTGGGAGCACTTTTAGTGAAGTAAAAGAGGATATTGAGAGGGATCTCTCATAGAATCTCCTCACACCTTCTATTTAACCAATTACTTACTCTCCTGGGTTCAGCCCACAGTCTGAGTAAAGAAGAATAAGGATTTGGAACCAGATCTCCCTCTACAAGCTCTTTCACCAGTGGGCTACAGAGGAACCACCACTGTGTTCACTTGTGCCTCCATTTTCTGAACAGGCACAACATGCTCCACATTTATGTTTGGCTGAAAGAGCTGTTGAATCCAGGCCAGATTTCTGAATAGTTTTAGTCCAGCTGAAGCGATATTTTTGGAGACTGAGATATTTGCAGGGGAGAGGAGGGTGTTGGAATAATTATTTAGTGTTGCTCAGGATATACATGCCTGTCTGTGCTGGAAGCCATTGCTGCTGCAGTCTTACACTTCTCTCTCTTTCAGTATGTTAACAGAAATGAAACAAAATACACCCTCCTGGTTAACTACACTCTTAGCGTGGGGCCAGAGATGACACTCTATTATCATTCAGCAGAGGTGGAGTGTGTGATTGCTGATATTGGTAAGCTTTGCCCTGATATTAACTGGTTTGCATCAACAGCATGGATTAGGCTTTCATTGAATTCAGTGAGAACAGCATTAGAGGGAGGGTGGAAGCTTTGGGGAAAACCCCACCCTTCGAAAGTTCATTGTTGGTAATAGCCAACTTGCTGCTTTACTGATGGCAGCTCTCCTGCATCCTGGCAAGACAGTCTGCCCTCGAGACACTGAGAGCAATAAAAGAAGTGTGTAGAATAAGTTGGCTTGCAAACAGTGAACCAGATGCCTCAGAACCTGAACATACATCTACTGGCAAAGCCTTCAGACATTGCTACAAGTTTCAGTTTGTCCTCAAATACAATTTTGCCTCTAAACGCAGGGCAGAACTTAACTGACTCAAATAAGTCGCTGTGATCTCTAAAGAGAGCATTTCTGTAAGGAGAAATCATCCACTAAGAGCTGTACTTAGCAGGTTACTGAAACAGTCAGGATGTCTTATTAGATTTTTGGATGCCATAAAGGTGACAGTCTCCTCACTGACTTATTTTATCTTTGAAATAACTCTTGATTCAACTCAAAGAAGTATGATCAAAAAATGTATTTATGTACATAGCTCAGCTTGCCTTACTGAAACAGGGAGTAGTCCCGGAAGCAAGCTGGAAGGTCACTGCTAAAGCATGAGGATTCCCCATCCCACCAAACGTGAGCTGCTACACCCACAACACAGCCAAGGCCCTGCAGACAATGCCAGCATGCACATAACAAGCTGCTGGGTTTTTTTACCCTTGATAGAAATCCCTTCCTGGGTCAAACATTATCGCTCAAACCTTCCTTCATGGCTAACTCTTCATCCCACCTTCTTCCTGCAGAACTACCAGAAGCAGTTGGCTCCTGTGATGAAGAAAACCTGTATCTAACCCTCCCTACTTTTGGCTTGCACCAGTATTGGGAACTGTATCTTGGTAACACGCTACTGAACCGGCACATTGCACTCACCAATGGGTATCTGGCAGCTATCAATTCTACACACCTGATCTTGCAAATACCTCTGTTTGCTGTGGGAGTTACCTACGAGGTACATGTTTAGCAATGCCTTCTTTAAAGCATGTAGAACTGTTTGCTTACACAGAATCCTCCAGTCACAGTTTGTAGTGCTGTGGCATCACCCATATTGGAAAACCTCCAGAGGGAAGGATTCTAAGCCAGTGCAAGTAGGATAAGAGGCATCGGACATGGACCCTTCTGGTAATGCCATGTATGATGCAATCTGCAGTGCTCACTTGTCTCTAAAAGATATGCACCAAGTCTTCAAAAACAAACTCCTCTGTATTTTTACTGAGATGAGGCAAAATGTCCCATCTGCGCTGAGCCAGAAACAATATTTCAACAGAAGTTTTATAAAAGAAGCTCTTTTAAAGGAACATTTTCTAGAAATGTTAAGACATGGCAGGGAAAAACTGATGCTGTAATAAACATCTGAACTATTTTACAATAATCAGCCAAAATTATCTCTGTGACAGTGAGTGATAAATTCATACAAGAAAACTTCTGCCCTCATGTTGCATCAGGCTTGAGCCTTGACACTGACTTAACTCCTGTGACTTGTTAGTATTCAAGTGACACAAACTAAAGAGCAAAACTTTGTACACATGGATGATGTACTGTAACAAGACACCTCTTCTATCTCTTCCTTCACAGGAAGTGTCCTTTCAGAAAATCAAAGCAAGGTTTGATGTTGCCCTAAGGAAAGTGAGAACTATGGAGACCTTACAGATGTTCTCCATTAGCTGCAGTTTTAATTCTTCAGAATTTATAAGTAAGTTATACAACTGATCAGTCAAAGAAAAGATGTGTGATTCTTTCCTTGAGTTCATAACCAACCCTTTGACTTTCTCAGTATGCCACCCGGATGGTACTGTAATGATATCTGCCCAAATGAAGACAGTTCCTGGCATTGACATGAGTAAAACCAAACTAAGGGACAGCTCTTGCAAGCCTAGAGAGTATAATGAAGCGCATGCCTTCTTCAAGTTCCATGTCACTACCTGTGGCACTTCTGCAAGGGTAAGCCCATGGCCGGAGCAGATACACCTGCTGAAATACTCTGTCTCTCCTGCACTTTCTCTTTTGTTCCCCTGCCCCAGATGCTGAGAAGATTCAATTTTTAATGAGCTTCCCATATGCACAGTTTGAAGGTGATCACATTATTTATGAAAATGAAATCTCTTATGAGAAAGAGACTCTTCCAGGACAGAGCATACAGACAATCACAAGGGATCCAGATTACAGGTAGGAGCTGCTGCTCACTGGCACTGCTCACTTTGGTACAGCTTCTGGAAAGTACATGTGAACACAAAAATTACCCTTTCTCCTATTCTAGACTAACAATCTTGTGCTACTATCAAGCAAAGGAGACCCTAGTGCTGGGGGCCTTCGTTAGTGATCCAGTCACATCACCTCCCTTTGGCTCTGGTACGATGGGACCAAGATCAAATACTGCAGGTGGGCAATTCTCTTCCTCCATTTTTAAACCTCTCCGACTCTTTCAGCCATGAGTTCCCTTGTTAAAACACATCCTACTTTCCACTAAAGAACCTCACTAACATTTCCTTTTCTGCAGCACACAGAAGAGTAAGACAAGCTCTGAATGTAGTTTCAAGAGTGTCCAAAGGTAAATGTCCTCCTACAAAAATCAGAAAATTTCCAAAAGTATTTTAGTTTAAATAATATTAAACAACAAAATCCCATGACATTTTCTCAAGATGAATCTTTCATGGAATTCTATGAGCCCAGCATGGCCATCCTCAAGCAACCTGTGGAGCCTGTGTTTCTTGAGGTGGAGCTGAAAGACGAGAGCTCCAACGTTGAGTTATACCTGGAAAACTGCTGGGTAACCAGATCTCTGGACTTCAGTAGCACCCCAAGATGGAACATTACTGTGGATGGGCAAGTAGTTCTAAATGACCAATGCACCCATTAGCAAAGCCCTAATTTCTTCTAGATCTGTTGATCTTTTCCCTCATATAGGTGTGAGATTAATGGCAGTGAGTATGCTGCAGAGTTCTGCCCAGTACCTGTTAGCCCCAGGGTCAGACACCCTTCTCACTTTAAAAGGCTGGCAGTAAGAACCCTGGCAAAGCAACTGGAACAGGTAAGACTAAGTGAAAGGCTCACCTCCCACTCCTGGACCCTATCCTGAGGTCATCTGGACAACACAGTCAATCACATGGTTTAGTTTTAGGTAGTCCCAAAAGAGGCAGGAAGTTGGACTTGATGATCCTTATGGGTCCCTTCTAACCTGAGATATTCTATGATTCTATGCTTTAAAAAATAGTTGATTTAAACACTTCACAGAGTTAAGACCTAGTCAGCATTAAACTCAACTAGCCTGACTGCTGCTTTAATTTAGTTCTCAGATCTCCTCTGCAACACAGTTGACTTAAGATTGGACTGGCTGAAGTAAACAAAAGAATTTGTTATGTAAATATGATTTTTATATGGTGTTTCTGTCTTTGTGCAGGATTAGATTCATAGCATTTCAGCTCAAAATGTCTAGAGCAGAAAAGTTAACTTATACACCCTAATATTCACATGAAGTTCATCTCTGTTGTCTCCCATCTGTCCCAGACAGTCATCCATTTCCTTGGATGCCAGCCCAATGAGAAGGGAAGCAGAGGCATGTGGATTTGGTCTTAATTTTTGAGATTCTGTTCTCCTCTAACAGAACTAATTAGAGCAAAGAAAACCCCAGGACAGTCACCTGAGGGTACTTTGCTCCTATTGCACCCAGCTGAGTGGACTGCACGTCCTGACTACATGTATTGATGCCAGGCACAGCAGTACTCCTGCTTGGGCAGCTTAAGTAACTGCATCATTTTTTGACTCAGCCTTTCATAAGCAGCTCAACTTGCTAGAAATGAACATGATGCAATTCTGGCTATGTGTGCAGCTGCATATAGCACCAGATTGAGTTTCTGTCTAGCTTTGATACACTGCAGCACATGAGGTTTTAACTTCTCTTGTCTCAGCCTCTCAGTTATACCAAACTGCCTGAGGGCTTCTTTGACACCAAATTTAAAATTCAAGGCAGGTTCAGCTAGAAGGTGTTGCATGGAAGCTTTCAGAGAAGCCTAAGTCTAACCAGCAGTAATTTCTGCAAAAGGAGATCAAAAGACAACACAATGCTCTGCAAAATGGCATTTGATACGGACCAAGTGGCACTTTTTCTTCTTCTCAGGTGTATGTGCACTGTTTGGTGGCAGCGTGCTCTCCTACCAACCCACCACCTGGCAGCACCTGCAGAGGACAGTGCAGCTCAAACACAGAGAGGAAGGGTAGGTATGCAGGAGAAGAAAAACATTGCAATGCACCCCAACCTGATGTTTTTCAGAGTCTTATGAGCTCTGACTTTGGCGTCTGAAATGCCTCGGACATGAACTGTGAACACTGATGTTACCTTTAGTTCATACTTTAATACATGAGCTCACAACATGTAGCATGTATTTATTCCTTAAAAACTACACAAATACACTGTGTGTTATTCTCAGCCCTTCCAGGTCACCATTCAGCCAGTCTCCAGGGCTATGTACTTGCTGGACCAGTATGGATTGTTGCTCCAGATCTAAGATGACACATGGAAACTGAATTTGGTAAGAACACCAGGCTCCGTGTACTCACCTAGAGATGTTACCATGCTTTGTGACACAAGCGATGCATAGCCTGTCCTTCAAGACCTCAGAAATAAAAGATCTGGAACAAGAACTAGGGAATGGGCATATTTTGCAGTCTCCAGGTATAAGCTTGAGCCTGTAAGAGAGGAAAAAAGGAGAGCTACCTGCCAAGCCAAACACAGATGGTGTGGCTCTGGAGCAGATGCCAGCAGCAGAGCAGGGCATGTTGGAGTTGGGCCACAGCAGGCACTTTTGGAGCCAGGTATTATTTCAACAGGTTTTCAACAGGACTGCCCCTAGTCTGCAAGAAAATGGATCTAAAATTTTAGAATCAAACACCAAGGCACAAGTCACTGCCACATTCCAAATTCTTTTGAACGGCCCAAATCCTCCAAACAGTTAGGGTTTACACTATAGTTTCATCTGCCCGTGGAGATCCAGAGCTGGTCAGCTGTGTGCTCCAGCACCACTCCTCACTTCCTTCTGTGTCCCTTCTACAGCACCTGAAGGCTCTGCTGTGCTGGTTGCTTTCTAAACAGTGCCACTGGACACAGGAGCTACCTCTTCCAGCGACCACCAGAACTATCTTGCCTGGAGTGACCCAATTGTGGGACAGCACCGGCTGACCCAACTGTGGGACAGCCTCTCTAAAGGGGCTACAGAAGACAACTTATCAGAAAATGACCCAAGGTAGCATAATAATATTTCTTGTTTCTTCCAGCTGTTGAAATGTGGACTTGCAGATCAATAAAATTATTCCAGCCCTGATTACAGCTGCTTCTTGTAATATTTCATAAAGTGACTGCCAATCCTCACATCTGAATGTAAAGTGCAAATCTGAAAAGTCAAATAAAAATACATCAGAGCAATGTAAGCACAGAACATCTTCTTGCTAATGTGCAACAGCAACCATCTGGTGTATCAACACTGGTTTCAAAGAGCCAAGCAACCTACTGTTTCCACATGCAACACAATGCTTTTTTTTCTCATTAATACAGATTTCTGTCTGTATCATTACATTGACCTGAGAATCTTGGAAACCTGTTAGTTAGTTCCTCATTTTCCTCCTACCTGCCCCTGTATGGAAAAGGCTAACTCTACAATATGGGAGTAGATAGATGCTTTAATATGAGCAAAAAGGACAACTTACCTGGCATCTTGTTTTCTGTACACACAGAAAGCCTTTCTTCTTCATCATTATTTTTTAGAGATCAAGTACAAACCTGACCCACAACCACCTCTCAGGATGTGCCTGCACTGTAACTGCAGGTGAGGCTGCAACATGTGTAGCTGTTTAACAGCAGTGAAGAGGGGGCAAGTGCACTGATGCCGATACCAGCTGATAGCACACACCTGTGCAGTCTCCAGTGGGTTTGCCCAGCTCCTGTGGCCACTGCCAAGACCCCAAGACCCCTCAGCAGCCGCCTGGGTGCTGCCTTCCTCTGCTGTACGAGCAGTGCACTCTGCTGTCCACAGCCAACACCGCAGAGCCCAGCAAGTTATGCTCCCAGCATTTGCCAGGAGAGCACATTCCCTGTTTTTAATAACAGTAACAAACTCATCGGTTTAGGATAACTTTCTGTTAATCTAAAATGCAGTCCTTTAGAAATTTTTAAACTGGAACGAAGGGAAAATACTAATGACTAAGTGCTAGCCCTTCTTTTCTCCGCACTCTCAGAACACTGCCTAGTTCCACGCAGACAAGCGACAGGTCTGGTGTGGCATCACTAAAGTTCACTTGCTCTGCAGCCTTGCAGAGTAGATTTGGGTAAACTTGTCTGCAGCACGTGTGATATCCCAGATCTTCCCCTTTTGCCCTGGAAAGCCAGGAAGGGGTCCAGCAGCATTCCATACCCATTCCTCCACCATCTGACAGATGAGGAGATCTTTCTCCTGCAGATATGTTGAAAGAGAGAGGGAGAAGGGGAGACAGACCTGTATTCCCATTTCAACAGGCATTTCGGGTTTCCAACTTTGCACAGACAAGCCAGAGCAATTCCACATTCTTGGTCTCTTCCTCCTGCCTTGGTTGCTGTCAAGGTAGATGATGTTTTTCACACTAAATCGCAGTGTGTTAGAGTTAGAAATTCACTGTTTATCTCAAAGGTAAACAGTGTCTTTCCCAAGCTATGGCTCAGCCATGCTGTTGTACAGGTGTATTGCTCTGCAGCAAGGTTTTTCTGGGATTATTCCCTCTTCTCAGATGTTGCAGATAGAATTTCAGCACCTAGCTCCTGTCCTAGATTGCAAATATTCCTTGCTGGGAGACAAGGATATCCTTCAGGTCCATTTCACATGTCCATCATACAACACAAAGATGTGAATGATGAAAAGTCTGATCATCATGAGCTGTAGGAAGCAATGCTTTGGACTGCATCCAATCTCTCTAGGTTTATAGACTAAAAGGATCCTACAGGTAAAATCTAGGAAACAATCTTCAGAAACAGACTAGAGTTCTACTCAAATGATCACAATATGCTGATAGGTAGGGCTTCCACCTTGACCAGATCTCTTTTTTTTAAAAAGAAATAAAAGCAGATAGACTTTCCATCATCCATGAGAGCCACTGGCTGAGGTTGAATCTGTTTTATGGTCCAGCCCCTGCCTTTATTAAAAGGATGCAGCAGATCCACAGTAATCTGCTAATATAAAAGAATACTGGATATTATCCTTCTCTTAGCAAGGGTGCCTTTCTGAATCCTTCCCCTTGTGGCAGACAACAGAGAGCACAACCTGCAGAGCTGTTTGACTTATAGGCGTTCATCCCCCACAAAATTTGACTAGTGCACCTTTCACTCCAGTCACTTTTTACCAGGTCATCTACTGAACAGGGCAGTGCACTATAGTCCTCAGTTGTAACAGTCAAAGAGTTACAGGCTTTTAATGCTGACTTGCCTTGGTTGGTCACTCGGAAGGCATGTGGAAGAGGAATATATTCTGGCCGCTTCGTGACCCAGCCTTTTGCCCTCATCATGCTACAGCTTTCCCTTTGGAAAGGCTCTCCTTGTTCCCTAGGCCACATCTCACACTGAACCTATATGAAACACTTCTCATGCTGCTCTGTGCCCTGCTAACCTGCGATTCTGTCAGCTTTTTCCTACCTTTCTGCAAAAGCAAGGGAAAGGCCTTGGAACACTGCAAGCTGCGTGACAAGTAGTGTTTCAGTAAGACAAATAAAGTCCTAGGGAAAAGCACAGAGTGAAGATGTTACTCTTTGCCTTGTCCTGTAAGGCAGTGATGTTATTCTTTGTCATTCTGTAATGTATTAAGGAAATAATGTATTTTTTGTAAGTTTAGAGGTAAATCACCAGGTGGGAACAGTTACTCATTGCCAAATTAGCCCGAGCTATAGGGAACAAAACAAACGGAGGGGCTGCCAGTGACGGCTGTGTGAAGGAAAGGGTCAAGGGCTTTGGGGAGTAGGTTTATAGGTAGGAAACCTTGGGAAAGTAGAGAATTTTTAATGTTTCATGTCTGAAACATTTCTGGCTGGAGTAAAGAGAGTCAGTGTACACTCGCAGTAACCATCTGTTTGAGATACTGGTGCAGCCACACAACTTTGACCAGCAAAGGCTTCACAAGGGCAGTGGAGGGGATGGGACCGACCCTGGCGCTCCACAGGGGTGTGGAATTCTCAGGTGGAGGCAACACCTAAAGCCCTGTGGAGGTATAAACCTACAGCATCTCCACATTGTGAAACATCCAAAGCACACAACCCTACTCCTTTTACAGGCTGAGAGGTTGCACAAATTTCACAATACATTACATAAAAAGAATTTTATTACTCTCCATTAGATTTGTAAATCTTAAACTATTACAGACAGGAAACTTTGCAGGACAAGGGGAGTTACTATAT